AAGAACCGTCTTTTGCGCTCCTGCGTGCGCAAGCTCACAATCCTGGACTTTGCTAATCCTCCCGCTTGGCACCGCGCCTCATCACGTCGTCGCCACGTCTCGAAGCGCGTCACAGGAATCGCTGCAAAGTATATTTGCGGGCGGATGCCACTTAATAAAAATAATAATTAATAATAACGCTTGCACTGGACGTAGCACCTTACCGCGTCGTCGAGATGCCTCAGAGCGCTTCGCCGGATACACCCTCAAGTGGAGTGACCGCGGATTTTGTGGGTGAAACGCGCCAGCCGGTCGCGCACGGCGGCGTTCCCGCAAGCAGGCGCGGAGTGAGCGACCAATTTTATAGTGAGTGTGAGCAATTACGCGTCACGGCCTGCCCTGTGAAGCGATTTGAGACGTCCTCCCGACCCACAAGCCGCCGTGTCCACTGTAAGGATGTTATCATTACCCCGACGATCATTATGATTGCCCGAGCAGCCTTATTGATGATTTTGTGGCGACACAATTCTCCGCCCTTTCTGTGCCTTCCATTGTGCCACAGTTGTTGTCGAAAATCAGATTGAGACAAGATGCTACGGCGTTCAAATGAATAGGGCACAGAGGCAGGAAGCAGTCTGCAGCCAGACTGCAGCGTAGATAAGGGACTTTATACAACTGATTCCTGCCGTTCTCAAGCCATGACAAAGGATTTCCTCCTTAAGTGTTGAATAGATTACAGGGTCAGAGCTCAACTTTTTGAACAGAGTTTTTATTAGCCGAGAGCACAATAAGTCTCGTGTCTAATTTACTTAACCTTTAATTCAATGTTGACTCAAACGAGCCGATGGATTTTGTGGTCAAAATCCAGTCGGGTGAGAGGGGTGAGTTGTTGTCATTGTTTCCCGCCCCACCGCCCCCTCACCTCACCCCACCCCTGCGGTGCTGTTGCAGAAAGGCACGTCCTCACATCCTTTTGTTCTGTTTCGTTGTCAATTGCAACCGGTCACACAGGACATTGAGCAACACTCATATCGCACTGTGTCTGGGAGCTCAGTGATGGAAAATAGCCACCTTCAGCCGGACGCTGGGCTGAAGAAGGGTTGGGAGGTGGGAGACGAGCCGAGAGGGTCAGTTGGTGCTGATTTAAGGAGGGAGCTTAAGGCTGAGTGTGAGAAGTGAACGGAAGACAGGATCTGAGTGGAGAGGCAAACAGGAAATTGGAGCTGATTCGGGGATGGGGGTGGGGGGTGGTAAGACGAACAGGAAGAAGGGGTTGACTTGCAGGAGCCAAACAGGAAACAGGGGCTGATTTGGAGGGGGCAAATAGGGGGTTGGGAGGGGAGCTGGAGGTTGAGTTGTTGGGAGGTACGCAGGAGACCAAAGCACATTTGGGGAAGGCAAATACAAAGTAAAAATGGCAATTCGGTACAGCCGTGCAATGGGAATCAGCTGATTGCTGTACACTTGCTATCCAATTGTTCTATCCAACTGAGCAAAGATTGCGAGAAACACTAAGAAGAAATCGATAACAAAGCCATCTGAATGATACTTATTGCAGTAAAATGGGGATTATTCGCCTTCCCACTGCACAGTAGTGAATTGGCTATCTTTCTCCTTGTGGCAGGGGGTTAAGTGGGATCTCCTTGGAGCTGAGCTGGATCCAAAGTTATGTGCTTGGTAACTGAATATCAGAGTCACATCGACCCTCCGTGGGGGGGTCTCAGTGGTTTGGTTGCTGAGCCAGGCGGGTCCGTAGTAATCCAGAGCCCTGCTGACGACAAACTGACTGCTGGACGAGCTCTCTGGGATGCTACCCTGTGTGAGGGGTGCTATATAAATGCAAGTTGCTGTTGTTGTTGGCCACCTTGGTTCGTCAGTAGGGCTTGGAAAAACAGACTTGTTACTGGACAAGCAGTGGGATCTCAATGATAAGCTTTGCGGTTTTAGCTGGTTAATTAGACTCCAGCAGTTACCCCAACGCACACTCTGAGCTCCACAAGCCTTGGCTCTTGCTAACCTGTGCTTAGTACTCTCTGGGAGTAGGTTAGGTCCCTCCGGGGAGAGAGTGCACATTCCATCCCAGACACAGAGAGATTTCCACGTGCACATAAATATATACGTACATAGATACGTAAATGAAGACCCAGTCTGGTTTGGATGATGGGTTTCCTTCTGTCACCCGGCTGACAGAATTTGTTTTAATTAATGCTGAAACGGGAAATACCATTCTCACTACATTGCCACAACAGCGCTGAGCAACGACAACAACTTGCACTGATACAGCGCCCCTCACGCAGGGTAGAGTCCCAGGGCGCTTTAGACAGAATAAGTGCGCGGGATCCATTAACCAGCAAGCGGAGCAGGATAAAGGGTTCTGAACACCTGAAAGGAAGGGCAGTCGTGCGGGTTAAGGCACAAGTTCTTCCAAACACATAGAAGAATCCTGCTGTTAGCATTTAACCTTCGGGTCCCGTTCTGTTTCTCTTCAGACTGCTCGGGGTGGAAATCGGTGTGACAGGAGCTTTTTTGATGGGTCACTAGCACTGAAGGCTTATTTTGGAATTTCTTCAAACCAGATTCGGTAGCTTTCTGATCTCGGGTATCAGCCCGACGGGACTACAGTACTTGAAAGCAGTTCCCATCAATAGAGAGAGGGAAAAACTCCTCCTTTCTTTTGACCTAAGGAACCTATTAACACAGAACTCTTTTGGTTAGTCTGAACAAACTCTGCTGTGTGCTGTTGCCTCTCTACGGTTATCTGGCTCGCTTCACTCGTCCCAGATGTTGCAAGCGGTCTGACACGTCGTGTTCGCTTACTGATAATGATGCCTTTTAAAGACGCAGAAGTGTTCATGATATCTATATCTAATTCTACATTAAATATATGTATAATGTATAGATGTATATATTTATTGCAAATTTAAATGGAAAGGGAAGGGTGAGACGGTGAGGAGATAGCTTTATCCTTGACTCGAAACAAACAAAAAACCCTCAAAAAAACTCTTTGGGGAAGTTGGGAAAAACCTGCAATTGCAGGTTCTACAAACACACAGTCGCTAAACATCACCGTAAAATCGTGCGAAGCGCTTTGAGACGTCCTGACGACGCAATACGGCGTTTCATCAAAGGCAAGGGCAGATGTCCCCCAGGTGAATTCTTTCTAAGTGTCACAAAATTCTGATCGTGCTGTCAGTAGGTAAGGAAAGGAATGGCTGGGATGCTTTTACTATCCAGGGGTCATTAGCCTGGCGTAGATCGCTTCAGTTCAAAGAGCAATGCTGCCGTGTGCATCTCGCCAAAGTAGGCGTTTAACGGGGCAAAGTTATAGACTGGAGTAAAGGAGCGTAAGCAGACACGCACTTCAAACTCTTCATCATTTATCACTGTTCGGTCTGTGAAATACACAGTCCAGCTACGCTTTAGAGCAAATCCCGTGAGGTGCTCTGAATGTGAGAGGCGCTGTATTATACGCAGGTGTGAAAGACGGCTAACTTAGCCCGGGTTGGGGACTGAACCGGGAAATCTTCCTGACTCGCTCGATCGCTGCAGAAACTCGCTGAGCCACAAACACGTGGGAGCCGGGGGGAAAAGCTGAAACTATTATTTCGAAAGTGCTTCAATAGGCCACCGATTAAATGTTAAGTTAAGGAGTACAGTAAAGCTCAGCTGTTTTGAAACTTACTGTGCCAGGTTGGAAGGGAGGGTGGGGGGGGTGGGGGGTGGGGGCGGTCACTGATGAGGACTGATGGTGCGAGTGTTAAAATACATGTGTGCAGGGCTCTGCTTCTCTTTACAACAGAGCGGTGTGACCGGGCAAGTTAACTCTGTGTTGTCCAGTCTCATTGCACTGAAAAATATTACCGTTATAATTCCCAACAGCCTGTCTCGCGACTTATCACTTCGACTGGACTTTCAGTCAGCTTTCCTCCCTCCGCACCCACCACAAAAGCCACAAAATGTACAGTCACTTCACAGTGTATTCTGAGAAGCCCTTTGAGACGTCTCAACAACGTGATAAGGCGCCTTATCAAATGCAAGGATTACTATTATTATTAATATACGCCGGCACAGACTAACTAATGACCTGTTTTGGTACGTTAGGTGCTATGTATTTCAATGTAATTCATTTGACGCATCGGGAGGACATCTCAAAATGCTTCACAGGGATTCACTGTAAAGTGAACAATAATAAATTGGTCATTTTCAATCTACGACTGTTTGTGGAACATTGCTGTGCGCAATTGGCTGCCGCGTTCGCCCACAAATATACAGTCAATTCACTTTACAGTGTGTTCTGTGAAGCGCTTTGGGACGTCCTCCCGACGTGAAAAGCGCTATATCAAATGCAAGGATTATTATTATAAGTGTGGTGGGGATCGTGTATTTTTGTAGGCGAAAAGCGGCAGCCAATTTGCACCCAACGACATTCCCTTCAAAACAGCCGTTCGAGTGCCCGCCCGACTGCATATAGCTCTACTACCCGCTTTGCCGTGAAAGTTAAATCAGTTACTTCTGATTTTCCTGTGCGTCCAGCACCGGAGAGAACAAGGAGGAGATCAGCTTGGGAGAGGGAGGGAGAGAGAGCGAGTGAAAGAAACCCTTTAACAATCGAGTCACAGCATGCTTTCCGCGACGTTCTCCTGTTTATTGAGCGCGGTAAGGGTTAAACAAAATAAACTTTTTTTGTCTGACAGTCACTCTCGAACGCTGTCAGCGATCCAGCCTGGAGCTAAGGTGCGTGTCCAGTTAAACATTGCAACTATGTGCAATGCAGGTTTGCTCCTTGCTGCACTCTCGTCGCTCGCGTCAGACTGGATGTAACTAGGTACACGCATCGCATACACACACACACACACACATACATCGCTTAAATCTACGAGACCTGCAGTTCAAACCGTGGCAGATCAGCCAAAGGTTTTAAGCGGGGCGCGGGGAGGGGGAAAAAACACTCCGAACCGTCCTGTGAAAACCCGCAAAAAAACAGCAGAAAAAATTATAATTTTTCCCCGATAATTTCTTACCTCCGGTTAGAACGAATCCCCACTGGACGCAGACGATCGCTCCGGCGAATGACCCGAAGAGCATTTTCGATTCCCTTTCCGATCGGTACCCCAAATCCGTCCGGCTCACCGTTTTCTCCCTCTGTACCGGCCCCCCCACCCACCACCACCCCCCAAAAAAAGATGTCCTTAAAAGAAGAAGTTCATCCACTTGACACAACAAGAGGGGAGAGGGGTGTGGGGTGGGGGGGGGGGCGGTGTGGAAGGGGGAGAGGGGGGAGAATCCCAAGAGGCAGGTGTGTTGTTGTTGGGGGGGGTCGTTCTCTCAATCAGGAGATTCTCGCTGTTCAGAAACTTTCAGCTGTTCAAAACTTCCCGAAACACTGCATCTCAGTTCCACCAACAGAGCTAATTCACTGAGAACGGGAGCATTGTAAAAGAAGTAGCTGTGTGTGTGTGTACTTTCCTATCTGGGCTGCACAGAGCAATGAAATGTGAGCCTACTTTTAGGTGGAAGCGTTGAGCTGTTTCTCAGGCTCCCAGATCCTTTATAGTGAAAAAACAGCGGAAGGCATCTACGTCAGTCACTGCCAGAGGGAGCCTATTTACTGTCCGGATCCAAATGCTCACCAGCCACTGCACACAAGTGCAGTCACTTCCCGCTGCAACCCTTTCAAGATTTGCAGTCTGCCGGGTTTAACCGGACCGCGCAAAACTGTGCGAGACCTTATTTCTGAGTGCGTGCGGGCGCGTGTGTGTGTGAGCGTGTGTGTGATTTGTCTTGTGTTTTCTTTGACGTCTTGTGCATCAGAACCAAATAGCACGGATTTGAACTCAGGAAAAATAACCCCCCACCGCCCCCCCCCCCCCACGGACTTGCCGACATTGAAAGTTATTTTCTAAAAAGATTAACGAGAAAATCGCGAGGTTTTGCCGGGAAAAGATTTTGTTACTTAGCTCTCGTTGCGCTAAGCAGACTTCCTTTCAGCAGTCACACCTTTTCTCTTACTCCCATTCATTCCCGTTCACCTCTAACTAATTTCTCATTCCTCTCTCTTCCCTCCAGCCTCAAGTTTGCCAGCACTGTGTTTTGTTTTAAAGTAGAAAAGGATTTGAGTTTGCTTCTATTTTCTGCCTTCCCTTCTTTCCTTTATCCTTCTTCTTTTCATCGATTACCTTTTTAATTTCCGCACATCCCTCTGCAAATAAAGGGTCTTTTTTTTTAATGAAACAGGTTTTACACACACACATATGCATAAAGAGATTGCGTCTGCCTGGAAATGACTGGAAACAAGTGGAAAATATGTCGCCGACACTGTATTTTCTGCTGCTCAAGAAATGTCACCATTAGCTTAATCGCGACAACAACTTGTATTTATCGGGTGTCCTTCAGGCAGGGGTGGCATTCCCAGAGCGCTCCACGGGGATAACACAAAGACAAAGATCTTGTTTTTGTTTAGCTGGGTGAAATGCCAACTTTTATCAGTCTGATAGAATTGCAGAAGTGTGTTAAGCCTGGCTCAGCTCTGAATCAGAAGGCTGTGGGATCGAATCCCCACGTCAGGACTTTGAACTCATACACCTCGCCCTGACAGGAACGTGGTTTAATGTCACGTTCAAAGGGAGGGCTGGGCATTCCATTCACAGGCAGTGACGCTCAACACTGCTAACTCACAGCCTTGCCACCTGCGGGAACAGACGAGACTCTTGCTCCTTTGTAAACAGAGCAGAGTCCGAGCGCTTCATTGGGCAGAGCAGACCTGCCGACTTGTGTCTCCGTTTCTCTCTGTGCGGTCTCGATAAATCTGTGCCACGAAACCCACGACGTAGAAAAGAAAATGCGGGACAACAATCATTCCCGCATTCTTTCGGACGTCAATGGAGTCGGTTGGGATCTTTACGACCGGGTTCAACGTCTCCTCCGAATGACGGCAACACCGAGTGTGTAGTGTTTCCCCAGCACTGCACCCAAGACTCATCCTAGGGTTTGTGAGTTGGACGTCCCAATACGTGTTGCACGTTTCACCCCTGTTAGCACAGCCTAATAGAAAGGGGACGGTAATGGTGGGGAGTTAAAATCTAACGCGTGTGGCCTTGAAGATGCAATATGGTATTTGCCCCCAAGCAAAGCCATTCTACTCAACACTTACCCAGTACCTGCTAATCAGCCAGCCTTTGTGTGTGTTTGCGTGAGAGGCACACAGTGAAAATTGTATAGAAAAACCTGAAGTTTTTTTTTCAATACATCAACTTTTCCTGCATGAATAAAGCCACTGTGAATGTTCTCGTCTGTCTGCAAGTGTTTCTTAACATAAAACCCTAGAGGCTGTTTTCTGACACTTCTCAACACGGGACATAAAGCAAAATGTTCAACACTGCAACAGCAGATATTAGATTTCGCTGCATTCGGCGTCCGGCACAGAACAAATCTATACGTCTCTGGTGATTAGCGGGTTTGAGGGTGGAAATCCCGAGCCAGGAAGAATTCAATAGTATAGTGTGTGAGCCCAGATTATCACACTCGAGAAAGAGAACTTACTTGTTGTATTAGGAGCTTTGTGTCGACTTCAAATGCTCACTGCTTCTGTTCAGCCACAGAAACATGCGCTCGCCATACCATCATTCACATCGTTAGTTAAATGCTTCAAAGTGCTCTACGGAGATGGAGTGCTGAGCGGTGAATCGGGGTTACAGTTTGGAGTTTAATATACAACAATTCTATACAATGTCTAGGCGTCCACATAACTGTGAGCGAATAATAATTATAATCGCCTTATCATGTTGTTGAGACATCTCAAAGAGCTTCTCAGAACATACTGTAAAGTTTAATGACTGTATATTTTGTGGGTGAAACACAGCAGCCAAATTGTCCAAAAGAGTGTCCCACAAACAGCCATGAAGGGAGTGACCAATTTTTTTTTGAAGGGATTATTACACCCTGGAAAAGCCATCTGCCAATCAACTAACAACCGGTTCCTACTTACTGCTAGGTACAACAACAACAACAAGATTCCATTTATTGAGCGCCTTCCACGTCGGGAGGACATCCCAAGGCGCTGTACAGTTGGGTCAGGACCCGAGCATTGGGGGGAAATGGTCAGGATGAGGGGAGGGAAGGGAGGGGGCGAGGAGGGGGTAGAGAGTCGAGAGGGGAGCTGAAGGCTGAAGGTCAAAGAGAAAGGTCTTGAGACCGGCCCTGAAGGAGGAAAGGGAGGAAGCGGCGAAGGCACTGCGGGATAGAGTTCCAGAGCCTCGGGGCTGAGAGGCTGAAGGCCACCGATGGTAGGGCGGTTGGGGTGGGGGATGTGGAGCAGACCGGAGCCAGAGGAACGGAGGGTACGGGCAGGTAGGTAGGGGGATAGTAGGTTGGAGAGGTAGGAGGGAGCGAGGCCGTGAATGGCCTTGTAGATGAGGATGAGGATCTTGAATTCGATCCTCTGGGGGATGGGGAGCCAGTGGAGGCGAGCGAGGGTGGGAGTGATGTGGTCCCGGAGCCTGGGGCGGGACAGTACACGAGCTGCAGGTAAAGAGCGACGCCTAAGGTTTTGCTCCGAAATGTGTCACGCAGACAGGTGGGAATGCTGGTAACTGCGAGCAGGTTGGTTCAACCTGGGAACCAAGTCTGCCTCAGGAGTTTAGTTCCAGTCATGGTGCCTCACCTCCATTTTAACATACAAAGATATAATACACACGTGTCTTAGACAGCCTTTGTTGGTAACTTCATGTTGGCTTGTGACTCCTGTTTATTTCCTGCCGGCCTTCTGCGCAAGGAAACTCTTTGAAGTTGCATCGAAAAAGTCACGTCTCTCGATGGGCAGAAAAATGCTGAATTTTACATTTCTTGCCCTAGAAAAAGCTGCCAACGCATTGTTGCAACGCAAGAGAGTTTAGAACAGGATAAGCCCATTAGAGGCTCATGCTAAGTGGCTGAAAGCAATTCCATTTAACCAACATGACTCCATATTCTAGTGTCAGCCTGCCTCAGTCAGTCTTACTTTCTCATCTCCGAGTGAGAAGGCTGTGGTTTCAAGCTCCACAGCTGGACCTTGAACTCACATAGTCTATGCTGACTCTCCAAAGCAGTTATTATAATCTCTCGCTAGAAAAAACATCAAATCACCCTTTGAATCTATTTTTACCACCGGCTTCAATGACCTTCCCCGATAACTCACTGTACACATCAATAAGGACGTTGGATGAAACATTAAACCACGTCTGCCTGTTCAGGTGGAAGTTAAACATCCCGCGGTCCTATTTGAATCACTTTCATTCAGATTCCATTGTTTCCCTTTATCTCTCTTATCAAAGCCCACGCAATGAATTCAATTTATCTGGTGAATTGGGGCTGACGATAGTAGGAGATCTCCTCATTCGGTTAGATGTTTCCAAACCATGAGCAATCGAATTCGCTGCGGCGTTGTGCGCAGGAGATGTTTTATAGAACCCTGAAAAGTACTGCAATTAGGAGACAATTACTTGCAGGATGAGTCAGCGGGTGGGATAATTCTCTTTTACTGGGTGTTTTCCCAGGAACGTTCAGACACATGAATCACTCCGACAACAAAACACCAAACTGGACCATCACAAAGATGTGAAAATACCAGTTAATTATGGAGATTTCGTAGGCGACTACGACAAGGCAATGTTAGATGCGTGTGTGGGGGCGAGCTCCAGAATTTTAATTCAATTCGAGAGAATCGTGAGACCACGGAACCTGACAGTGAAAAATAGACGAGCAGTTTATTCACATCAGTGGAATAAACTGTAGTTTATAAATGGGGCTTTTATTTCAGTTCAGCCCAGACATGGGGCTTGAACTGGCAACCTTCTGACTCAACAATATCAAAGAGTCAGCTTGGACTGTGCGAGTTGCAACAACAACAACAACATGCATTTATATAGCGCCCTTCACGTGGGGTAATGCTCAGAGCACCTCACCGCGGTGGAGCCCGACACTGAGCCGGCGGGAGGGAGGGGATGACTGTAACCACGGTCGGAGAGGAAGGTCTTTGGGTGCGATCTTAAAAAGGGGAAGGAGGGAGGCCCGCGAAGTTTCAGGGCGTAGTGGCTGAAAGCACGGCCATCGATGGTGGAGCGGAGAGGACGAGGGACAAGCAGGAGGCCGGAGCCAGCTGAGCGGAGGCGGTGGGTGGTGGAGTGGGGAGAGAGCA